GTGGTTACCGTGGTGGCAGTGGCAGAGATGGAGGCCAGAGAGGACTCGTACCAGTGCTTGTGGGTTGGGAAGATTGAAGGCTTGGCATCTCTCTGAACCTGCACAATGAAGGTCTTCTTTGAAGCATCGATTGAAGAAGAAGAAGAAGAAGAAGAAGAAAGTGGGATGAGGAAAGAGATGAAGAAGAGTGTTGGAAGAAGAGCAGCCATGAATGGAGGAGGAGGAGGAGTTTGGTAATGGAGGGTCTGGCAATGGTCTGTCACTGCCACTGAAGAAAACTTTAAAAAGGAAGTGCGTGTAGTGGGATCGAGTGAGACGACAGTGGGAGTGTAGTAGTAAAGTAATGAAACGCGTAGAATTAGAATGCAGTAAGTTTAAGAGGTCGGGCGTTTGGACTCTCCTGATTTCGAGAAAAGTTTTGGTAAAAAATTAAAATTCCGAATGGTTGTGTACTCCTACACGCCTATTCCTTGGAATTTAGTGGAAATTAGTTGGCAAAAAGTCTCAAAAACAACTCCCCTCCATACCCTATGCTTCAGGTTTAAAATTTTGAATTCAGGGCTGTACAGATAGATAGATAGAGGTGTCTCATTTTCTTCACTTAACCCACCTCATTTCTTTCACTTTTCAAGTATATATTCAAATTTCATAAAGTTAAAAATTTAAATTTAAACACCACTTTTTTAAGTTGGGTTTGATGGTGATAGTCATTTTCTTTTTTAAATTTTAGGTTTAAATATGGTTCTAGTTAATTAAGTTTTAAGATTATTTTAGGGACGAATGATTGTACCAATAATCTTTAGAGTTATATGTCCTAACCTCTGAACTTATATTGGCTCGTCACTACATCTTTTAAATATATATTTTAGTCATTTAGCTTTCAAATTTATTCTATTTTCGTCACTTTTACTTTTTAGTTGTCTATTTTAATATTTTTGTATGTTTGTATTTTTTTCTTTTAATAAATAGATGTTGTGGCTTCTAAGTAGGTGTATTAATCTACCATGGACATGTATTAGAGCAAAAAATTTGACTAAAGTTATTGGTTTGTAGATAGACATCAAGTGGTAATATAATAATAAGGACCAAAATGATTATTGTTTCAAAATTTAAGGACCAAAATAATATTTTGAGAGTTCAATAACTAAAATAGAATATTATGAACTATTGAAGAAACAAGTTGAGTTTTAAATATAAAATTTAAGCATGTTTATTTAAAAATATTATTGATTTATTAGTCAAATTTCGAAAGATTATAGAAAAGTTTTAGCCACTGCTTTTCTAGTTTTGAAATTTCGATTAGGATTTTAAAAATATCTTTCAAGAGAGATCACATAATAAAATAACAGTGTTCAAAAGATGAAATGATTATTAAACACAAGCTCTTAACTTTTAGTTGTCCATCTTTAAAGATAAACTGATTTATTTAAGTTTTCTTTGATTTGTGTGTAGTATATATTTTTTTTAAATGTCTTTAAAGTTTTTATGAATAATAATAATAATAATATGTTAACAACAATAATTATAGAAATAGTTTTTGTTTGTAAATTTTAGTTTAGAGTTCAAACGTGTCTTAAAAAAGTTGAAAAAGCAATCATAAGTTCAAGTTAAATTTCTAAAAACATTTTAAAAATTAGTTTAAAATTTAAAAAGGTTAAAAAAAACACATTTGGTCGTTTTTCGTTGAGTAATGATTTAGTTTTTGAATTTTAGTTAGTAACAATTTAGTCTCCGTACTTTTAAATTAGTAACAATTTAGTCCTTAAATTTTAGTATGTAATTATTTAGTCCATTTAGTTTAAAGTTTCTAATGATTTAGTCCCTATTGTGAATTATTTTTGTTAAATTTCTTATATATGTAGGTCTATAAACCTACGGGGACCAAATGTGTTTATAACTTACAATGACTAAATTGTTTATATGATAAAAATTGAAACTTAATTTTGCTAAGATTTTCTAAATACTTACAAATTTTAAACTATAATGACTAACTTGTTACATATTAAAATTCATGGACTAAATTGTTATTAATTTGAAAGTAGAGATACTAAATCGTTACAAATTAGAGTAACGGAATCAGTACTTTAGTAAAAGTAGAGAGATAGAAATGTGTTTTTCACTCTTTAAAAATACATTAAAAAGTATATTATTAAGTAAAGGAAAATATTAATTTAGTTTGAAAAAGAAAAAAGATAATTTTTAAAAACAAAAATAAAAAGCGAAATTGTAATCAATCCAACCAAAAATGATGTGTTTATCTTTTTAGTGTTTCTAGGGTTCATTACAAGTTACAAACTGCATCGTCATAGGTGAAAGTAAAATAGTGACGAATAAAAACTATGGTGTCGTTTTAACGAAACGGACAAACAAAGCTCTCCTACCAAGAACAAGATGGCTGAGCATATATCTATTTTTTTTAATTCAATAATTTACTTTTAAATTCTAATGCCGCATTCACAGCAGAGAAGTCCCATGAAAGAATCTGCTTTCTATGAAACCAAATTAAAATTTTTAAATACCAATTCGGTGTCATCCCCTTGACGTTTGTTGGAACTTTTTTGTTAGCTTTTATTCCCGAGATCAACTTAGCCCACCAGATGTTGAAACAAGATTAGGAGAGGAAAAAAAAAAATCCCTCCATCACAGACATTAATTTATGATTTACGAATAAAAATTAAATACTTTTACAAACGAATCCAGAGATATTATTTATGATAAAAAAAATTTACCAAGAATAGATAAATGAATGGAGTTACCAATAGCGATGAAGTATATTATTGTTATTATTTTTTTTATACGTGTGAGTGTCTGGATCACCGAACAGCATATAGAAATTAATTCTTACTAACTTAGGTACCTAGCCTAGAATTTATAGAGAATGGTTTGAATCTGTTAGGCCCCCGATTGTAAAAACTTACAGTAGAGAGGGTAAAGAAGTAATTGGGTAGGCATAGGCCAAAACGGCCAAGAGAGAGAAATGTTTAGATAGGGGCAGGGAAGTGTGCCCTTTTAAAGGGGAAGGAATGTCGTTAGGGATCATCTTTGTTTTCTATGTTTTGCTACTGCATTAGCGTTTTGGGAGAGATTTCCCACCCTCTCAGAATTGGTGGGTAGCTTTTGTATTGCCTTAGGGCATCTTTTGTAAAGCCTTTGGGCTCTGTTTTTATCTGAATCAAAAGAATAGTGAGGAAATACCTCACATTTTGGTATCAGAGCAGTTCGGTGCTGGGAGGATCGCCATCAAAATGACGGTGAAAGAATTAGAAACTAGGTGCGAAATAGTAGAAAAGGAAGTCGCCAGTGTGAAGTAAGAAATCACGGCGATACACCTGAAGCTTGATGAGCAACAGAAGCTGCGTGAAAATATTCACGTTAAGACGTTCATGGCTGAGATAATCGGTGGGAGTCCCCGTCCTATTTCGTCAGTAACAGGAGAGACCTCGACATTGAAAGGGAAGGCGACCGTGGGAGAAGTGGCCGAGAACAACAATGGAAACTAAGGGAATGACAGGAACCGTTTCAAAAAGGTATAAATGCCTATTTTCAGAGGAGAAGAACTCGAAGTGTGGATATTCAGAGCTGAACGCTACTTTGAGATTTAGAAACTGACGGAGGAGGAGAAGATGATCGTCGCTATCATAAGCTTCGACGACATTGCTCTAGCATGGTATAGATATACTAACGACCGCGAGAAGTATCGTGACTAGAATGATCTTAAGGGTCGCCTGAGAGACCGTTTTCACCCGGTGAAGGAGGGACGACAATGTGCGAAGTTGCTGTCACTTAAGCAGGAAGGC